TTTTCCATAGAGGCGATAGAAACTCCTAAAACCTCATGTGTCCTAAATTCACTAAATAAAATATACATTCTTAAAAGTTCTCCTAATGCTAATGGTGAAGTTGGGTAATAAGTTCCATTAAGCTTTAAGGTAACTTCATGAAATCTACCTAAAAAGTTATACAAAAGTTCGGCAATTTGCCAATCAGTTTCATCTATAAATCCTGTTCCTAATTTTGCACTAACATAATTTGTTATAGCATCTTTATAGGGGATGCATTGTTCAAGCATTATGTAAGTGGAGTTCCATCTTATGGGCATATCTAAGGCTAATGCTCTAGGATTTTGATTACATGCTTGTAGAAATCTAAACCAATCTTGTATTCTTTGATTACTACCTTGAATCCAAGCAATGTTATCTCTAATTCTTTTAATATGACCTGACATTGATTTTAAACCGGACTTTACTATTAAATTAATTATATGACATGCACAACGTTGGTGAAAAATATCATTATTACTAAATAAACTTAAATCATTTTCAAAAAGTTCTATTGCTTTAGTATTCGCAGTTGCATTATCTAATGTTATGGCCATTATTCTATCTCTTAAACTATATTCATCAATAACAGATAAAATTGTGTTATATATTAAATTGGCAGTATGTGATCGAAAAACACATTTGAAACCTAAGATTCTCTTATCCAAATCAAAACCTTTATAATAATGTCCGGTTACAGCTAAATAATCCTTGTTGGCAACGGCGGACCAAATATCCGCCGTTAACGCGACGCAACCACTAGTAGAGTGTAGAAGGTTGATTAATGTTTCCTTTTCTTGTTTATATAATTTTAATGCATCTTTCCTAAGAGTAGTTCTAGAAAAAAATTGTGCATTAGGATTATGTACAATTTTAATATAACGTTGCCAATTTCTTTGTTCAGGAAAACTTAGTGGTTGATCTAATGTGGCTATTTATCATGCCATTTCCATACGATCAACTTGCGGATCGTATTTCCACGTGCTTAGACCGCCGGTTTGGCGGTCAAACGATAATTGTGTTTGGCGGAGTTGATCTCTGCCTCCTTGCTTTTGAAGACACTTTTCACAGTGCCTTCTTAAATGTGTAGTGCCGTGAATAGTGTTACCTTGTAATTTCGCACCACAATATTTACATTGAGCTACGTATTTAATGTTACCGTTATTGTCGACGTCCTCGAATGTGTTGAAGTGCTCCCAAACTGCTGAGGTGCGCTTGCATTTCTTCTTAGAACTTGCAACACTTGCACTAGC